CTACCTCTGGCATGGCAGCTCACTCTGTGTTGAGTGGGAGCAGATCCATGTAAGGGCTTTATTCTGCATAACTGACATTTGTGGAAACTTTTAAACATCTTTTTTTAGCATCTTTTTTTAACATCTTTTAAACTCTGTGGACAAGGGATAAGTCCCTCCACTTGCACCTGTTGTGAGGGACAGCTACATGAGTTGTCCAACGGGCAGTAGGAATTCCGTCATTTGGAAGGGTTGGGCAAAGACTATTAACACTGTACTTACAAAAATCTACAAGCCATTAAAAGAAAAATTTGGAAGAGAATTGCTGCTACTCCAAGTGGAGCTATAAGCAACCCTTCTAATATACCTTTCTCACAACCTTCTCCCATTCAATCTGTTCAGTTGAGCTTTGTGCAGCAAGCTCAAAGTCACCCATGATAACATGAGTCACACCTTTGCAGTATTGTCAGTCATGCAGATTTGACTATCGTACCCACTATCACTGCCACGATAAATTGGCATACCTCTGTGAGGAACCAGGACTCAGAAGTGTGACATGTTGTAACATTAACAGGTGCAATTTGTTGTTTAATAGTATAAATCTATCAGTATCATTTGTTGAGATCATTTCTGTAATAACAAAATACAGACATGCTCTCTGAGGTTGGAACATTTCCAAAATTGAACATCATCCAAATAATCCTCTCTGTGGCTTTTATCCAAACATCCTAGCGCTGTGCAGTGAGGAGGTGGCTCCTGTATGCTCTTCCTTGTTTTACTCCTCTAATGTGTGTTTTCAGGGACCTTGAAGGTGTCTGGCTTGGCTTCAAGCTCCAGTTTCTTGAAACAATTGGTAATTGTAGTGTTTGCAATTACAAAACTGGCTCATAAATAGACCCCGCAATTTTCAGAGCATTCTTGTAAACTTGACTTGGAACATAAAAGCCAAGAATAGTACTTGGGAGAGGTGTCCTCAGAAAAGCCAAATTCTTTTTTGTTAAGCATTCCTGTATGTGATAAATGTAATGAATAATCAATTGTAAAGCAAAAATATTCTAAGAATTGCAGTGATTGATTAACCATACTGTTTTGAACTTCCCGTATATAAATGAATGGGTAAATGAATAAAATATACAGATTGCAGTTGCAAAATACAAAAAAGCGACACATGAGTGATGAAAGCAGGCTAACAGTAGAGTAATGCTTTTCATTAAGGAACTGTCTGCATATTCATTAGAGCTAGTCGATTACTTAAAAAATATATTCATCAGATAATGTATTTGATGAATTTTACCATTATTTGTCAAATAATTTATTCAACAAAAAAGGTAAAATTAATGGAATAGTGCATTTATCAAATCTTATTGGACAGCTCTAATACTTATTCAGTTCTGTAAAATTTAGGTTGATTCAGGATTAGCAATACTGCTGCAATCAATGCAGAAAAGTTTCCTGGCAAATCCATTAATCTGCTGTTTTCTGATGTAC